AGTCAGTTTCACAAGTCAGTCTCGCGAGTCCTTTCAGTCTACAGTCAGTTCCTCTCGGGAGTCTGATTCATGCAATCACGAGTTTTTTTAATTCAGTCCTTGTGACTCATCGAGTTAGCTTTTTCCAAGTTCTACCAGTGCTGCCGCGCTTCATAGTTAGTCATTTCAAGTGAACTTAAGCCGGCCGCCGTTCTTTCTTCTTTCCAAGGCGACGTAATTCACTCGACCTATTACTATTTCGGATTAGCCGACATCAAATGTAAGTCTATCCTTATAAAATAATAATAAGATTCGGAATCTATACATCAATATGGTCCGGTTCTCAATCCTATTCTATTTCTTCAGGACAAAAAAATCCTGTTGCCATCTCGACGTGAAAATTATCGAAATTTGCCAAAACAATTATAAATTATATTTCTATTTTGTTTTATTTAGTTGTTGTTTTCCTCAATAATCCTATCTATTTTGTTTTATTTAGTTGTTGTTTTCCTCAATAATCCTACTTATTTCGCGATTCCATTTCAAAACCACGCGCATAACCTTTCGCAACTTTACTACCTTCCCTCTCGGCTTAATTAGCTGCTAAGCGTAGCGGAGCCGCTTCCGCCGCGCGTTCGCGAACTATACAAGACGTTACAATCTATAATGCGAGAAGAAGAGATAAGTTAAAAAATTTAATAACACCAAATATACAATAAATAACGCAACTTCTGAAGCAAGTTTATTTGTGAGTTCTGTAGAGATAATCGAAGACGAACATGAAAATGAGCAGTTGACAGCTTATGTACCGCGCTTATGTTCATCCAAAGCAGTAACGTTGCAACAGTAGGCTGTACAACATTCTGTGTTCTCAACAGCAGAGCCAATTATCACAGAGGAAAAAGGCAAAGGAGAAGAGGACGGAATTACAGAGTCCGTTACAATAATAGAAATATTTGCATCCATAACTATTAATTATTAATTTAATTATTAAAAATTAAATTATTATATTAAAAGCAATGGAAATTATTAATTTTAAAAGCAATGATTTGGAAACAGGCCGTCGAGTCTAATTTGTATATATAAGCCGCTTTTGTTCTATCAACACACTGTTACTCTATATTTTAATTCTAATTATACTAAATTCGACTGAAACTTTTTGTTTTTCTTGTTTTTGTAATTATTTTTTATTTTAATTGTTTTGCTTTTTCATAAATTAATATAAAAATATATATACATTGTTCAAGAGTTCAAATAGATAGCTCTAAGACATTACAGTGATATAGTGAATGCTTGCTCTCTACGTACAAACTGAAAAATAAATAAAATAAATTAATTAAAAAAATAAATAATAAATAATATAATTTTGAATTATTTTCAATATTTTATATTTCGCTTTTATGTGCATAAGCACAAAAAATATTATAGTAAAGATTATCACAAAACTTTTTAGTGCTAAAACTTAAAGAAAAGTGGCTTATTTCTGAAAATCTTCTAGCAACAATAAATATCGACTGATTGCGAGAGGCGTGTTTCTTTTTGATGCGCAGCCCTATGTCGCATGCTGCTCATTGCGTTACTCTATCAGTAGAAATCAGTTGATGTTCATCGTTGCTCATGAGTAGCATTAAGCATTAAAAATGTTATAAGGAAAAATTGACAAACGTTTGCCTGCTGCTGTATAGAAATAACTTAAATTCATTTTTGCTAAATAAGAAAAACGTCATCAGTAGCTGTGATAAGAAACATAAACATAATAAAAGTCGGTGGAGCGTGTCGTGCCATATTTTATTAAAGGCGTAGAAAAGGATAGACGATAATATTTCCTTTTTCTCACACACACCTGTGTATGAGAGAGAAAGAGATATACAAAGAGCTGAAGCTATCTCTACATTCTCTCCTTTAGAAAAGGACGTGCTGTTGTTTTTCCTTTCGCTCTACGATCATAATTCAAGCTGTCTAAGTCGGACGGTCGGTTTAATTTGACCATTGTAAATTCTCCCCTCGCATGAAATATCAGCAAAAAAAGGTGCGGGGACTAATGCGGCGAGATACCGCGACAATGGTGAGACATATCATAATCCCCTCCATACAGGATATGAAGCTTCTTCTCAAATGGCTCTATGCGCTGGAACGCCTAAAGAAAGAAAAACGGACGCGTCACTGCGCGTTAGTCGTGTGTGAGTAGCAATTAAGAAACGGTGGTGCGAAAGTCGATTTCGTGTGTTTCGTATAACGAAACGCGTTCATTCGGTGTATCTTGCTTTATTTTTTTTCTAAAGAACTAAATTCAGCGTTCTTTAGCGTTCCAGTGAGAGTGAGAGTGAACGTTAGGAGTGATAACTTGTCAAGAGTAATAGTGATAGCGCTAGAAGTGACATTAAACGTTAAAAGTGACAACTTATCAAGAGTGACAATGATTTATTATTGTTTCAAGATGTTATGCACAGAAAGACCACATAAAATAGACAAAAGTATTGTATAAGACATTTTAATTAAAAATATATGAGTAATAAATAAAAGAGGACTTAAAAGTAGTTTTTAAAAATTTTTCGATATGGATAACAATTGCCAACGAATTTAATAACGTCATGACATCTAATGCCCATTAAACGTTTGTCACGTGTAACAAATTTAGAATAAAAGATGAACTGGGCAATCGTTCTTCCATTGTGCCTAATTATGCAGATGATGCAAATGGAGAAGATGATCGTGCAGAGATGAGAGTAGGACGCGAGACTCGGACATTTCAAGATCAGTTAAGATAAATAATTCCAGATTAAAAGACTGTAATGTTCCTTTGAATAATACTGACGGTCTGACAAGTTTTATTATAACCGTGCCAAAGAAAGATTTTACTTCCATGATTATGAGACGAAAAAGGGAAGAAGATCGGTTTATTACCATGTGAGAATACACAATACTGCAACCGGGAGTATGGCAACATTTATTTTGCGAAAAAGCCCCGAATATATCATATGAATTTAATTTTATACGGCATAAATTATTATACAATGCAGAATGTGGATACGCATACAGTACGGTTATAGTAAACGCAGATCTGTGATAAAGTGCAACATAGATCATTTGAAGGAGTTTGTAACTAAAATAAAATGTACTTTTATCGAGGGTGAAGGACGTTACGGAAAACGTTATTTAAGAAACCTAATAATACAAGCTATTGCCGAGAAAATGTGAGGAATAACTGCGACAAATATAGAAAGTTTAATGAGCGAAGAAGATAAAACTGACCCTCCACATTTATACAGTGCAAATGTTTTGAGAGTAGCACGGCACGAGATTATGAAAAAAAAATTATTTATACAAAGATCCATTGAAAGCATTGCATTTAATGCAGTTCGAATCATTGAGAAATGCGATATGCAATATCGTTTTAAATCTCTTCTTTGATCATTATTTGTCGAATTATCAGTTATATATGTACCGAACATATATATCAGATAATGCATCTTGTTTATTCATCGATACAATCGGAAGCATCATAAGAAAAATCAAAAGACCCGATAATAACAAAACAAAATATATTTTCTTGTATAACTCTGTCGTTAATTCTGAGAAAAGTGGTCTTTTTCCAAGATGACAGATGCTTTCGGAAAGCCGTATAATGAAATAAAGCCAATACTAATGAAAGCCATTGTAACGTCCCCGCCTCAAATTTTCTTTTTGTTAATATTCATTGAATGTATAAAAGTTCATTGAAGTTGTTAACCGTAACGCCAAGCGCAAAATTCAATATTATTTCGAAACGATACTTAACCTCACATACAACGCGGCACGCGCCTATACATACAATATGACAGGCGACGTGCCTGAATGACGCACACAACAGAGTTCCGTCACACATACGCACACACACACGCACAGCCGGTATACGTGAGCGCCCGGACAGCTGCACCGCAAGCGCGACGCAGACCGACGATATCTTATCTCTCTTTCTACACCGCAGCGCCCGTATCCATTAAACACCTCTTTTATTCACCTTCCTGAATCCCTACTGAATCAAGACGAGACTCTTAACACTAACCGTCCAATCAGAAACCGGTCTATTGGAAAATAGACAAACGCGAGAACCATAGGTATAATATATATAAATAATTGTAATAATCAATTGAAACATGCAAATTCATAATAACAATAAAATTATTATCACAACCATTTTAATTCAATATTCTGCTTTATTTATTCAAAAACAATGTACACAGTTATAAATTATTAATTGTTACGTGCTAACTTAAACTGTCAATAATAAAAGTATATGCGTTACATTTCAAAAGAACTATATTAAATTCATAACGACCCGCGACCCATTCTATACTGCGTACACACATTATATATTTCATACTCTGTACTATATAAAATTCTTAATTGCTAACAACCATAGAAACACTTGTTATAAATTATTAAATTCACAAACGCCAACAGACGACATCCATTAAAACCTGCACCCCAATCCTCCTATTATAAAGGGCAATAAGATATATTAACATTATATTACAATATTAAAGGTCTCATCCTCGATGACGCATCTTCGCGCGCTCACTTGTACACACAGACACGCTGTAGGAAGGTACACATACCACCAGTCGCCCGTGACTGTAGCGGCACTCAACGCGTTAGAATATATCGGCGCCGCATCTAAGATCCTTTTTCTTTATTAGTTTATACTGCCGCTATACAACATATAATAACGCACACAGCCACACAACAATCTTATATACATTATTATTAACATTATAATTATTAATCAAGAGCGCTCGACACACACACAATATTATAACACACCTCTTTATTCTATAGGCGATACGTATAATCATAAATATATTATTAATAGTTATCGCCGTTATTCGCACAATATTAATTATTATTATTGTAAGAACACTGAAATTCACCGCACCATAAGTAAGCTCACAATAAAAAAGCATTCATTATCAAAAATTATTTAAGAGACGCAACACTGAATGTCGAACGTATTAAATCATTAGAGACCCGAGTTGAAAAATTAATAAATTATTATGCGCTAACTTAAACGACCGGGCATACCTCAGTCTTCTTAGAACTCTCTAGCCGCCCAACATAACTTAAATAAATCTCGAGTTACTCGGGCATTACTTATCTTTGTTATTCATAAACGACATGGCACCAATCTTCTTTGAATTTTACCAAAGCGCGAACCCCCACTCCGGTGCCATCCCTGCCTTTGTTGCCAGAGGGTATATAAACCCGTGCGCAGCATCCCCCGTGTCTTAGTTGTTCATTCAGTCCTTTTTGTCTTATTCATTCTCATTAAAGCTTCTTACTTTGCATTTTGACTTATTCACTTCGTTCTTATTAGTTCGAGTCACAGTACTCTTTGACTTCTATATTCATTTATTCGACACTCATTATTCTCTCTAGAGCGGCTCGCTCCCTCATACGAGGCTAGTTAGTCAGCTCTCTGGTAATCGAGCAGTTTTTACAAACGCTCCCGGCAAACCAGGCAAGTTTAAACCACGGTGCAGTGAGTTCCAGTTCCGCCTTCACACCGAGTTCCTACTTCGTGCGCACGAGCCCTGTAATAGCCGTCCGTAACGTAAGTCTTGTTTTCTTGTACTTCTGAAATATACGAATTTGATATCACGATTCCATGCGAATCTCCAGACGTGTGAAGTGCCTTGTACCTTATCCCACTGCTGCATCGCGACCCAGTGAACAGATAGAGCTCTTATTAATATACTATAATTATTGGAATCCTGCTTAGAGCTTATCCAGTTGAAATAAAGTAATTACGTCCTACTCGAGTGTCTAATAAGTGTGTTCTTTCAAAATTCTAAATTCTTAACTTTGTATTCTAAATTCTGCAAGCTATATTGAAACAATTCTAAATCAAGCAACATTTAATTATTGAAGCAAACATTTAATTCTAACTAAGGCACTTTAGAACATTGCTTATAAATCCTCTCGCTCTTACCACATCTACTCCCTCTCCCTTGCTGCTCACCTCGGAGTTTGAGTTCGCTGAAATATCCTGAAATTCCCTTGTTAAATTTGTTATGCAGATAGCTCGCCTAGGTGCAGAGCCTGCTATCCTTGTCAGACCCGCTTCGCAGATAGTTTGCCTCGGAGCAGAGCCTGCTATCCTTATCCGCAACGCACATTTACACGTGGCCGCTCGCCTGGAGGAGCTGAGTTAGCCATCGTGAGTATAACCTAGAGAGCCTTACTTAGAATCTAAAGGTAAATTTGATATTAATATAGAATGTGCGTATTGCTAGATGCCTCATAAACGACGACGAGGAGTACGTAAAATTAAAGAAAAGAGAGCTCGTATTGCCGCTAAACTCAGGAGACTGAGAATTATTCCCGACCAGACAGGAACCTTCGTATCAGACGAGTATATACAACAACTGCGCGCCACGACCATTTTTCACGAAATACTAGAGAATAAAGTTATTGAAGTAAAACCTCCGGCCGATGACATATATGATTTAGAGACGGTACTTAATTCCCCACAGCCGGAGTGCGATTTTGACTTTTGTTCGTTAATTGAAGAAGCTCCAGAAAATATAATCCCGGTCGAAGTCCCAGAATTAGACACGTACACCGCCGCTGTCGCGAGCGAGTTGAATTCCTCCTTTTGTGTTAATAANTGTTAATTGAAGATGTTACAGAAAATATAATTCCTGCCGAAGTCCCAGAATTAGACGCGTACACCGCCGCCGTCGCGAGCGAGTTGAATTCCCCTGTTTGTGTCAATAATAGCGTAAGGTCTGCAGAGGACCACATAGAATTCAGCGAAACTATGAATGTTATAATAACAGCTCTTTGTGAATTAATTGACTCTTAAATAAATATAGAAGTATCAGAACATCTAGATTCTCACTTATTGACTGTCTAGCCCCCCCCCCCCTTCCTCCCTCTATTTACCTACCAGCGTACGGCAGGTNACGTACGGCAGGTGCTCTCAATCTTCCCGGGTTATTGCCGGTGAATGCAGGTAGGCCCAAAACAAGAAAAGAGCAGCGCATCCTCGTTCCCGAGGGCCCGAGGACGTGACACCATATAATGAAATGAAAGCCTATACTAATGAAATAAATTATTGGTTAATGGAATGAATTTGAAGTGGTGCACGTTGTCCACGCAATGTAGTATGCTATACCAATCGTGCATTATTGACAGCAGCTGTTCGAAGTTTCACAGGATATTTAAATATTGAAGAATTTTGCGATGCATGTAAAGAAAATAATGTACGTGTTATACAGGGTGGCCCATTTTAATCTAACCACTCAAATAACTCACTGGGAATAACCCAAATCAAAAAAAGTTTTGAAATAAAAGTTTCCTACTTTTTGGGGGGAAATTGAATGGTGACTTTGAATTTGACCTTGAAGTCGATTTTCAAGGTTATTTCAAGGTCAACTTTATTTTTTTAAATAGGAACCCTTATATTTGACCTCAGATTCTGATAGTGCTGGAAATTTTGCGTTCAACCATATGAGTTTTAATAAGGGTCAAATGTCATTTCAAGGTCATTTTAAGGTTAAAACGTCAAAATAACAGCATTTCTAAGATTTTTTAAGGTAAAGTATATTTTTCAGCCATATGCGTCATGCTAAGGGTCAAAGGTCATTTCACGGTCAAATAGTCGAAAAACTCAATTTGTAAAGGTTTTTTATTTAATTTTAGCTCCAGGTTGTGTGACATTTAAGATTTATCAATATTAGTTTAAAAAAAAATTAGTCGTGACCTTAAACTTCACTCTGGAGCCAAAAGTCGAAGTTACTTCAAAGTCAAAGTTCAAAATAATGAAATTTTTAAGGTTTTTTTTTCAAAAATCATCATAAGGATTACGAAGCGTGGTGTTGGTATTTTTTGAATCATGGAGAGAAGCGTTTACCTTGGATCTTGATTTTGATGTTTACTTTGACCTTTCTATTCAAAGGTCAACGTCATTTCAAGTTCAAAAAGTAAAAAAAATTATAAATAAATGCTGATTATAAACATAATTTTGACTTCAATTGACGATATTGCATGGTGAAAATTTTTCTCCTGTCCAGCGTTCCCCAGGAATAACGACTTTAACGTGGCAGAACTTTGTTTCCATCAGGGTGCTTGTTTATCGTGAGTCCTCTATTGAAATCAGCGATTTCAGCATTTAATTTACTGCAACTAACATTATTTCAGAAATTTTAAATTTAAGTTAAAATGTGCGCCCTCTGCATTTAATTTATTGTAACTAACATTATTTCAGAAATTTTTAATCTAAGTTAAAATTTTTTAATATCAATTTTAATAAAGTACAGAAAAAAACGAAGTAAAGTACAGTAGTGCTCTCTAGGACTAATATTATCATTATGGCTGATTATTCTGCTAATCACATTATTGATATGGTGATGGTTTTAGGCGAATGCCAGAACAATTACCGGGCAGCAGCATGGTGGTACGCTGAACTATTTCCTTTAAGGCGTCATCTCAGTCATGTGACGATACGTGCGTTAACTATTAGAGCTCGTGGTGGACAACTTAACCGTCAGCGCAGACGTCACGAATACGATGAAAATAATGCTCGCGTTTTGACAGTTTTAGCAGCTGTACATCTTGTTCGTCAAATCAGCAGTCGCACAATTGAAAGGGAAATCGATATTCCACGAAGTACTGCTTTAAGAATTCTTAGAAATTTAAGATACCAT